GCATCATGCACAACACGGTAAAGAACACCGTCTTCCTCCCTGCACCTCTTCCAGTTTCGAAGTAGTTTTCTAGTCGATCTAGACTCTTTCATCAGCTGTCTTGTTGTTGGGGGATGCTTACTATCCCAATAATGACGGAACCTACTAATCACTTCGTCTACCCTCTGCATTTTTGACAGATCATGTTTTGAGGGGTAAGTAGATGTTGACTCCGGCTTTATTACTTGTGACCGTACACGAACTTCATCAAGTAGTACGTCTCATGTCAACTGACACATCTGTGTTTGAAGTTCACTTGGAACCTGTGTGGATACATATTCTCTCGGGATGCAACTATGAATAACATGACCACTAACTTGTTCAAACCTCACGGTTTGTGGTTCAATGCCATGGTCATTTTTTCTGCTTAAAGCATCAGCACTTGTATTGCTCTTGCCTGATCGGTACTTGATTACAAAATTGAATTGTGCTAGTTCGGCAGCCCACTGAGTTTCTGTTGCGCCCAATTTAGCTGACGTTTGCAGGTAACTTAGTGGATTATTGTCAGTATACACCGTGAACTCTGCTCCAACTAAATATGTCTCTAAACTTCTGGGTAATGGCCCACTTTAATGCCAAAAGTTCCAACTTCATGCTGGAGTAGTTTTGCATATTTCTTTCATTCGTCTTCAAACTACGACTGGCATACGCCAAGACTACAGTTCCATTCTCTTGATTTTGAGAAAGTACAGCACCAAGGCCATTCAAACTGGCATCTGTTTCGACTACAAAGGGTTTATATAAGTCTGGGTAACCTAGTACAGGTGCACTAGTTAGGGCATTCTTAATTGCAACAAAAGCCTCCTCGCAAGAAGCGTCCCATAACAGCTTGATTTTCATTGACGATTTTTCTTTCCATACATCGTGTCATTCTTCCCTCCTTTCACAAGTTGTGTAGTGGGGCGGCTATCTTTGCATACCCCTTGATGAACCTTCTATAATAAGTGCGCAAAGTAAATTACAAGGCTAATTAGAATGTTAATGCATTTGACCTGTCACATGACAATTTTCTGATTTTTTCTTGTCATCTTAAAAATGGTTAGACTGATTAATTTGATATTTTTAGTCCCCGTTCGGACGAAGTCCGAAAACGGGGACTTATAATTCGGTCTCCGTCCGTCCGTGCGTCCGTCCGGAGTCATATCTCAGAATCCCTTGGACCTATTCCGTTCATTCTTTGCATGTGCCTAGTACTTTATGTGGGACATATACACATGTAGTGGTTAAGCGATTTGATTCAAAATGGCCGACTGGCAGCCATCTTGTTTTTTGAAAATGTAATATTTTGGACATGCTTTGTCAGTTTTCATTCAAATTTAGTACATAGATCATACATGTTAGGATACATGTCCCCGACCGTCCGTGAGTTCCTGAGTCTGTCTGTCCGTCCGACTGTCCGTGTGTCCGTGCGTCAGTCTGTCCGTCATATTTTAGAATCCTGTGGATCGATTCCGTTCATTCTTTGCATGTGCCTAGTACTTTATGTGGGACATATGCACATGCAGTGGTTCAGCGATTCGATTCAAAATGGCTGACTGGCAGCCATCTTGTTTTTTGAAAATGTTGTATTTTGGACATGCTTTGTCAGTTGTCATTCAAACTTGGTACATAGATTATACATGTTAGGATACATGTCCATGACGATTTATTTCACAATTGGAACAAAGATGTGACACATAAATTGTTAACTATATTCGTATCCAGCTATTTGTCTTGGTGCTTTCAAAGTTATAAAAAATTCAACTGCTATGGCTTAAACGTAAATAATACAACAACAGGTTTGCTATTATAGTGTTGGTGACAGTATTGATAACACTGGAGGCTAATATCCTAATTTTGATTTTCTTACAGTTAGAGAACTAGTTAATAAGTTCAAAGAGATGATGAACACGCCTATAAAAGCAACTAAGAGTTCATTGGATGTATTACAAAAAAGTTACAATTTTCATAAAATCGGAATCCAGGAAAAAGAAGAAAGAAAATGGAGCAGCTCTGCTGTTGAAGACAATCACCATGGCAACAGTGTTTTAGTTGCTATGCACAGCTTGCAATTACATTTACAAATGGCATTGAAAGAGTAAGTGTTCTCCATAACTGTATTTTCAGCTAATAATAAAACACATTAAATAGCCAAATAATATTTATCATATTCATTAACACAGTTCCTCATGCATAGACAAATTTCTAATTTCTGTCAAATGATATGGCTATTTGACAAACCGAAAGGGCCAAAATACAAGCATGCACAGACCACTATAATTTTGAACACGCAGTCAAACACTGCTATCTCAAACCTCCAGGTTCAGCGGGAATATGCCACTGCACTGCACTGCACTGCACTGTACTGCACTGCACTGTAATGCACTGCACTGCACTGCACTGCAATGCACTGCAATGCACTGCAA